ATGAAATAGTAAATTTAAGTGACAGCCTGGGAGGACCTCCATTCCCTATTTTAGAGTTCAATACTGCCTTGGAAAGCATGCCAAACTCATGAGTCTTAAATCACCTGTGAGTTCTGGCTTTATTTAATGCTAGTTAAATAAATTTAGAGGCATTTTTTTCTTTAAGCCACAGTTTTTAAAATCTATGAATTGGTGATAATAATCCATGGCTTATTCTCAGGGTTACTGGAAGGACATATTGAGCTAACTGATATTAAACCCTTTAAAACTGTGAAACCTTTCACTCAGAAGATTGTTACCGTTATTTTGTAAATTTTTACCATTCACTCATCCAACAAATATTTATTTAGTGCCTATTGTATGCCAGGCACTGTTCTAAGCATGGGGGATGAAGTAGTGACCACGACAGGACCATGATCTCATGGTGCTTACATTCTAGTTGGGGTAGAAACAGGCAATAAAGAAGTAAATAAGATAAAGTGTGTCAGATGGTCACAAGTGCTACTGAGAAGAATGAAACAGGAGAAGGGATAGGGAATATGGAGGGAACTTGCAGTTTTGAAACAGTGGTCAAGAAACCTCACTAAGAAGATAATTTATATCAAAGAACTGAAGAAGATGAGGAAGGTAGCCATGTAGTTATCTGGGGGAAAACATGCCTGAATAAGGGAACAGCAAGTGTTAAGGCCTTAAGGTGGAAGCATTTCCTGATTAGTTTGAGGAAGAGCAAGGAGGTTGGCATGGCTGGAGTTAAGGGAATAATAGGAAGAATAGTAGATCATGGAGTCAAAGAGGTGATGGGGTGGTAAGCAGATCATCTAAAACCTCATTGACCGTTATAAGGACTTTAGTTTATTGAGTGAGGTGGAGAGGCATCGATGGATTTTGAGGTTGGAAATGACATGATCTAACATGTTTTAAAAGAACCATTCCACCCTCAGCCCTTTTAACTCTATCACCTATTATTTCCAGAAAAAAAATGGGTAGGCCCCAGGTTACTCCCTCACCAAGTTCCCTCTGAATATGGGGGAACAGAAAGACTTTTTTCTGACTGCACCTTATATTCAGGTGAAACATACAAGAGCCAAAAAGAGCCCTTAAAACAATGATTTTCAAAGTTGGCTGCACATGAGAATCACCTGGTGAATTTTTAAAATACATCAGAATCTCAGGAATGTGACCCAGGTATAAGTGTTTTTTTGAAGCTCCCAAGGTGCAGCCTATACTGAGAACCACTAATCAAAGAGATTGACCAAATCCTCATGATATGATTGGGACCTTGAGTTTGGAAGTGGGGAGGATCATGTTTCTGATGGCAGAGCTGGACCTGGGACCACTTACCATTCTGAGGAATGCAGAATTCACAAATACTTGGACAGGAGGAAGATAAGATGTTTCATAGTTTGGAAGCAGATTATGGGCAAGAGAAAGCTGAGATAGGAGTATCCCTGGGCCAGGCCAGGAAGGAGAAGGCTGAAAGCCAGCACCAAATGATAAAGCAACATCTGAATTATAGGCCAAACATCTGGAAATGATGAGGGCACTACACAGATTAGAAGCTTGATTTTCAAAGAAAGTACTGTTCTCACGGCCAGACTGAGCAACTACTTTGATTTTTGCCAGTCCTCTGCACGTGGGTGACTGGGTAGGCTCACAAGGAGAGGAATGGGCAGGGCATGGACCAGCTGCTGTCTTTCTCATCCTCTTTAATCCCACACCTCCTGCACTGCCCAGGAAAAGCAAATATCTTCCATGAAGTCCTGAGTTCTTAATTTAGACCTGTCATCTTGTTCTGCCCACCAGTCCTAGAGACAGAATGTTTCATCCCACAGGCATGTGCAAGTTGAGAAGAGCAGCAATCGTAAGCTGTGGCCAGAGGCAGCTGCACTGGCAGTAGTCTGAGTATCTAACATCCAGGAGAAACTTATCCAACATCAATTTTTAAGGCACAGTGAGCTCATGTGGGAATTATTATTAATGTCAGCCTCATTACTTCTCCTTTTCCCTGTCAGGTTGCATTCTTATTTTTCTAGTTTATTTTTTTTAGTGGGGGAGTGGATCAGGACAGGGGGATGGACAGAGTGAGCAGTCACATGACAGAGACAGACAAAATAAAGAGATATTCTAGTCATCTTGCCACTTGTCAATACCTCTGGTTAAACCCAATCAATATACCCAAATAGCACCTACTAGATAAATTTGGGGGAAAAAAATCATTTGGAGGGCATGTATAAGAATATTCATAGTAGCTTTTTAAAATTTTAATTTGGGGAATAAATTAAACAATGTCTATTAGAATGATACAGGGTAATTCACAGTATTAAAGAAAAAGCTGAAGAACTAGGTTTTTTAAAAAATTGAAACATAACTCACATACCATAAAATTCACTTTTCAAAGTGTATAATTCACTGTTTTTTAACATATTCACCAAGTTGTACAACCATCACTACTATCTAGTTCCAAGCCATTTCCTTACCCCAAAATGAAACTCATATCCATTAAGTAGCTATTTCCTATTCTCTCCTTTCCCCAGCCCCTAGCAATTACTGGCCTACTTTCTGTCTCTATGAATTGCCTATTCTGAACATTTCATATAAATGGAATCGTATAGTTTTCCTTTTGTGTGGCTTCTTTCACTTAGCATAATATTTTCAAGTTTCAACCATGTTGTAGTCCTCATCGAGTACTTCATTCCTTTTTCTGGCTGAATAATATTTAATTGTATTGATAGACCACATTTTGTTTATCCACTTAGTTAATTTACATTTGAGTTGTTTCTACATTTTTGACTATTATGTATAATGCTGCTAGGAACATTCATGTACAAATTTTTGTGTGGATATATATTTTCAGTACTTTTGGGTATATACTAAATATTGGAATTGCTGGATCACATGGTAACTTTATGTTTATTATTTTGAGGAACTGAAAAACCATTTTCCAAAGGGACTGCACCACTTTACATTCTCACCAGCAATATATGAGGGTTGCAATTTATCCACATCCTTGCCAACACTTAATCATCCCCTTTTTTGTTATAGCCACCTTAGTGGGTATGACATGGGATTTCATGGTGATTTTGAGTTGCATTCCCCTAATTGCTAATGACGTTGAGCATGTTTTAATATCCTTATTGGCCATTTTTTATATCTTCTTGGAGCAATGTATATTCAAGTACTTTGCCCATATTTAATTAGGTTATTTGCATTTTTATTGTTGAGTTGTAAGATTTCTCTATTTTATATATATATATATATATATATATATATATATAAAATCAGTTCTCTATAATTTATAGGGTTTTTTTCTCCCATTATGTGGGTTGTCTTTTTATTTTCCTGATATTGTCCTTGAAGCACAAAAGTTTTAAATTTTGATTAAGTAAAATTTATCATTGTTTTCTTCTTGTTGCTTTCTTTTTGGTGTTGTATCTAAGAAACCATAGCCTAATCAAAGGTCACAAATATTTATACCTATATTTTCTTATAAGAAAGAAATATTTAATTATAAACATTTTTATGTTTTCTTATAAAGCTCTTTTAAGAGTTTTATAGGTTTATGTCTTTCATTTAGAGGTTTGGTCCATTTTGAGTTAATTTTATATATGGTGTGAGGTAAGGGTCCAATTTGATTCTGTTTTATGTGGATACCCAGTTGTCACCATGCCTTTTTTTGAAAAGCCTGTTCCTTTCCCATTGAACTGTCTTGGCACTCTTTTTGAAAAGCAATTGACCATAGTATAGCAACTTTATTGTAAATGGTTACAAATTAAAAACAGTTCAATGTCCATTAACCAAAAAAATGCATAAATAAATTGTGGCATATCCATATAATGGGGTACTACACAGCAATGGTAAGGAATGAATATTGCTACATACAGTGTAATGGATAAATCTCACAGACATTACATTGAGCAAAGAAAGCCAGAAACAAAAAAGTCCTCTTTTTTTGAAATATTTATTTATTTATTTATTTGGCTGTGCAGGGTCTTAGTTGTGGCACATGGGATCTTCTTTTTTTTTTTAACATCTTTATTGGGGTATAATCGTGGGATCTTCTTTTACCACGTGCGGGATCTTTTAGTTGTGGCATGTGGGATATTTAGTTGCAGCATGTGGGATCTAGTTCCATGACCAGGGATCAAAACAGGGCCCCCTGCATTGGGAGCATAAAGTCTTAGCCACTGGACCACCAGGGAAGTCCCAAGAGTGCTCTTATATGAATCCAATTTATATGAAGTTCAAGGACAGATTAAACTAATGATTGTGACAGAAGTCAGAATAGAAATTACCTGGGAGACGGGGATGGCATTGACTGGGAAGGGGCATGAAAGGGTCTACTGAGGTAATGGAAAGGTTTTTGTATTTGTATCTTTATCTGGATAGCATTTGTATGAGTATATACATATGTCAAAATCTTATAGGTCTGTCTATATTGCTGTCTTATACAGCAGTTTGGAAGATTCAGGCATCTTCTGTGACATTTTAGAAGAGTGTTAGCTGCAGTTATAGGATGCTTCAGAGTAGCTCTGATTTTCTCAAAACCTAATTATTCTCTCTCACCTTCTCTTAAAATAAAAAGGCAGTACATCTACCACAGGACACTGCTGACCACAGGGAAGAACTTTACATAAGGTCTGAGTTTGTCCCTGGGTAATAATTTAACCATTCTTAGACAATTTTACCCATATGCCCTGACTTCTTCAAAACAGATCAGAGTCTATGTGGCTTTCTTCTCTTTTAAAAAGGCAATTTGTTAAACTTATAATGAAAGACAGTTTAATTTGTATGCTTTGGATAAACAGTTTGACAAAAGAGGGGGGAAAAGTCCTTTGTTCATCCCCTGGGACCTGATATGGGGATTTGGCAATACGCCCAACTTGCCTAGACACAGGTCTCAAAGCCAAAGTTAGAGGGACATGTTAAAATTCATGCCACATGCCAGGGCGGCGGGAACTGCAATTGGTGGCTTTGAAGGTGCAGCAGGCGGGAACATCTGATGAGAGAGCCGGCCGGCGATGTGTGCCAAAGAGATGGATGAAACTGTTTCCGAGTTTTTCAGGAGGACCATCTTGAAAATCCCATTGACTGAAATGATGACAATACTAAAAACCTGGAATTTTTTGTCTGAAAATCAACTGCAGACTGTAAACTTCCGGCAGAGAAAGGAATCTCTTGTTCAGGACTTGGTTCTGCTTTGTGAGGAAAATCGTGCAAGTCTCAATGATGCAGCACTTTTAGACATCATTTATACTCAATTTCATCGGCATCAGAAAGTTTGGGATGTTTTTCAGATGAGTAAAGGACCAGGTGAAGACACTGACCTTTTTGATATGGAACAATTCAAAAGTTCATTCAAGAAAATTCTTAAGAGAGCATTAAAAAATGTGACAGTCAGCTTCAGAGATGCTGAGGAGAATGCAGTATGGATTCAAATTGCCTGGGGAACACAGTATAGAAAGCCAAACCAGTACAAACCTGCTTACGTGGTGTATTATTCCCAAACACCATATGCCTTCACTTCTTCCTCCCAACTGAAAAGCAATCTACCCCTTCTGGGTCAGGCACTGACAATTGCTAGCAAACACCATCAGATTGTGAAAATGGACCTCAGAAGCCGGTATCTGGACTCTCTTAAGGCTATTGTTTTTAAACAGTATAATCAGACCTTTGAAACTCACAACTCTACTACACCTCTACAAGAAAGAAGCCTTGGGCTAGATATAAATAGTATGTGTGTTTTAAGATAAAAACTGAAATTTGGAAGGACATTCCTTTTCAGATTTCTGTCACCCAGGAAAACATTTATGTACCAGGATGTGATTCAAAAGTATTTACTGTTTTCAGAAAATTGAAAATTACATTTCTGTTGAAGTGGGGAAGCTAAGCTACCATAATCTCTTTTAGAATTTACTAGACTGGCATCTAATAATAATCAGAACAAAAACAAAAATTAACTAACAGTTGTTGAGCATTTCTTCTGTGCCAGGCACCATACTAAGGTGTTTATATGAGTCATTTCCTATTTCTTCACAGCAGTCCCATGAACAAGCTCTTTTCATCAGGAAACTGGGTTTCAGAGAGGTTTAGTAACTTGTGAGGCAAAATCACATAGCTAGGAATCGGCAAAGCCAGGAGTGAAATCCGAATCTGAGTCTGGAGCCCAGGCTCTTAATGCTTCCTGAGTACTTTATTGCATCTCACAGGTATTGCGTTATTTATAAATTGAAGGTCTGTGGCAACCCTGCATTGAGCAAATCTCTCAGCGCCATTTTTCCAACAGCATTTGCTCATTTCACGTCTCTGTGTCACATTTCCATAATTCTCACAATATTTCAAACTTTTTCATTATTATTATATTTGTTATGGTGATCTGTGATCAGTGATCTTTGATGTTACTACTGCGAAAAGATTACAACTCCCTGAGGGCTCAGATGATGGTTAGCATTTTTTAGCAATAAAGTACTTTAAAAAAAAAATCATGCCACATGTTTATTACATGGGAGGGGCTCTGGATACCAAACAGAATAGGCTGTCTCAGACACCCAAAGGCCAGAAACAGCTGCTATGGAGATTTCAGATGCCTATATAAGGAGCTTATCTCAAGGGCAGGACTGCTCTTTGGCTCCTGACAATGTTTTTCTGTTTCTGTGAGCAAGAGAAGGATACAGGGGAGTTGTCCAGACCAATATGCTGGCCCTGTGCCCATGACACTTAATTCCCTTGTCATGAGGGCTGTGAGACCACTGATGGTTTTTGTTCTTAATGAGAAGATGGGGTAGGGAGGGGAGCGTGCGTACTGAGGGTGACACTATGGGCCAGTAATCGAAACACATAGGAGGTAACATCTTCAGCTTGTGCAAAAATGGATTTTGTAGTCCACTTTCTTCTGAATGAATGCATGGGAAAGAATGGCCCAGTTGATGGTGGGAAAAGGTGCATTCAAGCAAAAATGCCAGACAGGATGACTTATCCCATCGCTATTGGGGACTTTTGAAGGGAGGAGTGATGGTCTCTCAAGGTGCACATTCACACTCTCCTCTCTTCTGACTGGAAGTACATACTTAGGACTTTCAGTACTTTGAGAAGCCACCTGAAGTTCACCTTGGCATGAAGTTAAGGAGTGCACAAAAGAATCTCACCCCACCTTTCTCTTTGAGTAGTGCAAGCTCCATGTATCAGTTACTTACATTAAAATTCACCTTTGTATAAAACTCTCTGTCTACATACTTAACTCTGTCTTATTTTGTATAGCTTTTCAAATCCTTCAGAATGCTTTTATGGACCTTAGCTCATTTAATCATCCCAAGACCTATATAAGGTAGGTGAGGTATATACTTCCCCCTTCCTTCAAATTAAGTAACTAAGGCCAGAAAAAATAAAGTGAATCATCCAGGATCATAGGTTGAATGAAGAAGAGCCAAGTAAGTTGACCAACCATCCCAATTTACCTGAGACTGTCCCAGTTTTAACACTGAAAGTCTCATGTCCTGAGGAAGCTTCTTAGTCCTAAGCGAAACTGGATGATTGGTTACCCTATATCCAGGATAGAACCCATATCTCCCAACACTCTGACCAATACTAGTGCCACTGCCCTATGCCATTTGTATTATGAGAACTGTTATGTGACTAGTGTTTCCTTTTATCTACACCTTAGTGTACCAGCACATTTCTTCATGCTGCGTCATTCTCCCCTCCTACCCAGACAAGGACAGAAGCAATGACAGCTAGTTCTCCTCAAACTTAAAGACAGTTTTGGCAAAAGGGAACCATGTTTCAGCTTTCTCATCCACAAAGGAAGGATGATAATCTCTATATTGCTTACCTCACATGGATGTTGTATGGATCAAATATAATGGGTATTAAAGTGCTTTCTAAACTGTTAATAGCTGGTAACATGTGAGAGATTGTGGTTATTCTCTACTCCCTAGGCAGAAGCCAGCTCCTTGTCTTATTCTCTTTCCAGTTCAGCAAGTGTTATAGCCACTAACTGTGTGAACTTTGGTGAATCCCTTGGTCTCTGTGCTTCATTTTCCTCATATGCAAAATTAGGCTAATAATAATTATTTGTATGGTTGTTTTAAAGGTTGAATTATTACTTGTAAACCATTTAAGAGTTCTTGGCACATGGTCAGTGCTATATATGCATTAGCTGTTTTGGGTTGCCTTTCTCAACCCTTATAACCCAGGACCAGAGACTAGATTAAGAGGCCCATAAACCAATTGACATGGAAGGCACTACTTACTTTGAAATCCCTTTCCGCTAGTTCCCTAATTGTTGTGTTGTGTACCCATAGCATTCCCACCATGGATTGCCAAGAAAATGAGTACTGGGACCAATGGGGACGGTGTGTCGCTTGCCAACTCTGTGGGCCTGGACAAGAGCTCTCCAAGGTAAGTCCCCCTGGTCAGGATACTTATTTCTGTCACATCTTAAGAACCAGACTGGCAACCAAGAGAGTCCAAGATTAGCAGAATCATCCCCATCTGTGTCTAATCAGTTTAGTAGATAAAACAAACCAAAGATTATGACAGGGGACTTCTCTGGTGGTCCAGTGGTTAAGACTTCACCTTCCAATGCAGGGGGTGCGGAATCCATCCCTGGTCAGGGAGCTAAGATCCCACATGCCTCAGGGCCAAAAAAACCAAAACATAAATCAGAAGCAATATTGTAACAAATTCAGTAGACTTTTTGAAAAAATGGTCCACATCAAAAAAAACAAAGATTGTGACAATAGCAGTCACAACTCCATTAAGAAGTCAACCTGGCAACATCAGGGGCAGGGGAGGATTCCATGAGATAGTGGGGTATTTCAAGAGTAAATGTGTAATGCAAAGGCCTAGGAAGGCTGTTTGGTATTAGGGACATATGTCAACTAAAGAAGGGCCCACTCATTTGCGGTTCAGGAGCCAGATATCAGGTCTTGGGAATTGGAAAGAGAGAAGAACTGAGTAGTCTGAAATGTGGCCTCTGTCTAGAGGGACTGGGCCACTGAGGAAACTGCAAGAGAGGCTTCATTGATGGGGAACTAGGGAGGGTCTAGAATCCCAATTAGTGGTAAGGGTCAGAACAAAACCACCCACAAAGCAGGGATTTTATACACAGCCCTGGCTTGCAGAGCTGGAGCTGCTTAATTGTTCCTGCTTCAGGTCCCTATTGGTCCCAAAACCTGGGGGTGGTATTAAATTTAGGCTGCAGCTGGGAACACAAAGGCTGGGAACAGACAGTCGGCAGATTTTTTTTTCACACTCACATATTTTATGCAGTTGTTCATTAATTCAGCAATTACTTATTGAACACCTACAAAGTGGCAGGCATGGTTGTAGCCACTGTGGGTATGGTAAAACAGACAAAATTATTTGCCTTCATGAACCTTACCTTTTAATTAGTGGAGCAAACAATGAACAAGATACATACATAGATATGGAAGTATGACAAGAATTATTTACAGTGACCTGATACAGAGTGACTGGGTGGCTGCTTAGATCAGGTAGCAAGGGAAGGCCTCTCAAGGAGGTGTCTTCTGGGGAGAGAATACAGCTAGTGCACAGTTCCAAGGTGAGAATGAGCTAGGCATGTTCAAGAAAGAGGAAGAAGGTAAGTGCAGCTGGTGATTGGTGAGTGAGAGGTAGACTAGTACATAATGAGGTCACAGAGGGAAGTATCGGCCAAACCATGGGAATCTTTAAGTTTATGATGAGAAATTTTAATTTTTTAAAAAGCACACCAGGAACCCTTTGGATGGTTTTAGTTAGGAGAGTGACATGATACTCTGACTGAAACAAAATGTATCAATTATTTAGCCGGCCTCCTTCCTACCTCCCTATTTCACAAATGAAGAGACTAAGGCCCAGGGATATTAACAGACAAGCACTAACTCTAATTTTAACTCTTTACACATAGCATTCTATACCACAGTGGGGTGCCCACATGGTTAATAAGGGATCCCAAGACCAAGGAAAAGTCTTCAGAAGTTAGGTCATGCTAGACATTAGGATGGACCAGATGGAATAAGCTACTTAGCTTGACAAAATCTATTTTAAATATCACATTCATCTTCATGATCAAAAGGCTTGGCACTCCTATAAGAACAAGCTCTGAGAAATGTTCCTGTCATGTACATGGCCATTACCTTTAAAGCCATCCATATTTACAAACCTGAACTTCTCCAAGGGAGAAAAATAGGTCTTTCTGTTAAACTGCTGTTACCAAATTCTCAAAAAGTGGCCCATGATGAAATGTGCATTTGTCTAAGCACCTCTTTGGTTGTCATTTATTTCAGCACCACTAGAAAGCTCAGAAAAAATGAATGAACTGCAGTATTGTGTTCCTGCAACTGCTTTATGTAAAAACAGCTTGTACTTGTATAGCAGTCTGTACTTTGTAAAGAGTTTTCATGTGCATTATCTCATTTGGCTCTCGAGTCTCACCAAGAAGGTATTATGAGCCCCATTTTAGATGTTGAAACTGAGACTCAGAGAGCGTATGTGACTTGCTCAAAGTCACAGTGTTCAGTAAAAATTGAATACACATGGGTTTGAGTCCCAGCTTTGCTGTGGGCAAATTAATCTTTGATTAAATTAAGATGTACTAAGTTAAAAGTAACATAAAACTTACCAGTGACTTGAACCATAAACACATTTATTTATGTAATGAAATTTGGAAGCAGGGATCCTTGTGGTTGGGTGGGCAGATCAACAATATTGTCAAGGACCCAGGCTCTTTTTATCCTACATCCTGGGCACCTTGCTATTTTTTCCTCATGCTTGTGGTCTCTTGGTTACCATAACTCAAAGCATTACATCTTCACATCAGAGTCAAAGTCAGGAAGAAGGGGCAGAGACAAAGTAGCGTGACATTGTTAGTGAAGAAGTATTTTCCTAGAAGCTCCACAACAGATTTCCCTTTGTATGTTATGGGCCAGAGTTGGGCATTATAAGTATCTCAAAACTGCTGGGAATGCTAGGACATGAGTACCTGGCAAACAAAAATGGGATTTCCATAATGGACTAAGACCAATCACGAATCACTTCTTGGACTTCCCTGGTGGCGCAGTGGTTAAGAATCCGCCTGCCAATGCAGAGGACATGGGTTCGAGCCCTGGTCCAGGAAGATCCCATATGTCACAGAGCAACCAAGCCTGTGTGCCACAACTACTGAGCCTGCGCTCTAGAAGCCACAACTACTGAAGCCCGTGTGCCTAGAGCTCATGCTCTGCAACAACAGAAGCCACCGCAATGAGAAGCCCACACACCACAATGAAGAGGAGCCCCGCCTCGAGGCAAATAGAGAAAGCCCTCGCACAGCAACAAAGACCCAATGCAGCCAGAAAGGAAGGAAGGAAGGGAGGGAGGGAGGGAGAGTCAGTTCTTGAGGCTGGTCACTTTGCCACCCAGAATGAAATCAGTGTTCTGTTAGTAAGGAAGAAAATGGGCAATGACTTTTGGATAAGGAATTAACAGCATCTGACACAGGCTTGTTTTTATAATTTCTTTTATTTAGTTTTAAAGTTCACTCATATGAACCATAAACATCACTGTAAATAAAACTTTAGAAAAAATCAACACTCTTTCCTCAGGACACATTTTTAGAAGTATAATTGTCAAGCTAAATAATGCATACATTTTTAAGATTCCTGTAATATATTAGCAGATAACACTTGTGATAATTTTTACTAATTTCCACTATAATTACATTTATTTTCAACATTTCATGGAATTCTTATATCCCAGAAGCCTAACCACACATAAATAATGTGTGTTTCTATCATCTATTAATTTTGTCTTCCTTTGTAACATTAAATCACTAACATATGAGGACTTCACGTTCATTTTTTTTTTTTAACTTTTTACTATTTGATAGGGGAAAATATCACCTTTTGGTGTTTATTTGCAGTTTTGTGAACCGTTTCTGTTTGCTTGTTTTTTCTGTTCTATTCATTGTTTATTGTTCATTCTTCACTCATGTAAGGCACCTGAGTAGAAAAACAGATAGAAGAATATGGGGTATTTTAAAAATCATTTATATAATGTGTAATACTTTTAAAAATCAGAAATGGTCTTGAATTTTATTTCATTTTATCATTCATTATCTCTTGACTATTTTATGTATGTCCCTTTGATATATTAATTTGATGACATATATTAATAAATTCCAAAATTAAAGTATCTTGCATCCCAAGGATAATTTTATTGTGATTTTGGATTAAATGCCCTCTTATGTTTTATAAGTTAATATTTTATTTATAATAAATAAGTACTCAGCGCTATCAGCATCAAAACTTATTTAAGAACTGTGCTAGCTTGGTAAAATTAATTAAGAAGATCAATGTTTTTCTGGTTATAAAACTGGTTAGTAGCAAAAGAGTTTTGGGGGACTTGATCATTTGAACAAATTTTCTTTGCTTCCTCATTAGGAAAGAAAAATTTCAATATAAATTTTTCATGATAATTTCTTCCTTTTTAATTTCTTAAGAAATGAAATATCTATTTATTCAAGGAATTCTTGTTGAGGACAATTTGATAGTGTTTATCCACTATGCCAATCTCTGCTCTTAATTGGTGTACTTAAACCATTTATATTTAAGGTAATTGTTGATATGTTAGACCATTTTATCATTTTATTTTTTTGTTTCTTATTCTTCCGTTTGTCTTTTCTTGCCCCGCTGTGGGTTACTTGAACATTTTTTTTTAGGATTCCATCTTGATTTATTTGTAGGGTTTTGGTACAGTTTCCTTGAAATCATTCTGGGTACAGTAAGTCCCCTACAAAGTTCAAGATGCGAACTTTCAAAGATGTGAAAATGCATTCCATCAACATCAGGCGTGAGTGAACTTGAAACTTGTCTTCCATCTCCTATTGTTGATGATCCTTCAGCTCTACCATCTCCCACCTCCTCTCCCTCCTCCAGTCAGTAACTCTTCTTGCCTGTTCACTCAATGCCAGCCCCTGTATGCCAGCTGTTGTACTGTACTACTATACTTTTCAAGGTACTATACTGTAAGATTCAAATGTTTTCTTTACTTATGTGTTTCTTTGTTATGTATTATTTGTGTGAAAAGTATTATAAACCTATTACAGCACAGTACTATATAGTCGATTGTATTTGTTGGGTACCTAGGCTAACTTTGTTGGACTTATGAACAAATTGGACTTAATGAACATGCTCTCAGAATGGAACTCCTTTGTATGTAGGGGACTTACTGTATTACAATATACACATGTGACTTAACACTCTCCACTGTTATCAACATTTTACCATTTTTTACCATTTTTAGTACAGTATGGAAACATTACTTCTACTTAGGTTCCTATACTTTCCTCACTTTCAAATATCATTGCTTTGACTATCAGGTAATTTTGATTTTTTTTTTTTTTTTTTTTTTTTTTTGCG